CTTTGGTCCAGGGACTCTCAGTGTTCTTCCCATCTTCTTTTGATACTTCCTGAATGGTTCAGTATTTTGACCATAGAATTCTTCAGTCATACAAACTGAGGCTTGAATATTCTTTTTCCAGCTCTTTCAGCTTCAGAAATGCCAAAAGTGTTCTTCTTTTTTAGTTTTGTAACTCCAGATCTTTGCACATAACATAATACTTTGTTCACTGAGCTGTGGTGCTGGAGAAGAATATTGACTATACCATGGACTCCTAGGAGAACAAACAAGTTCATCCTGGAGAAAGTGAAGACAGCTTCTTCTAGGAGGCAAGGATTCTAACGCTTAGTCTGACATACTTTGGACATATTTCAAGGCAGGATCAGTCCTTGGAGAGGGACATCATGCTTGGGAGGGTGCAGAAACAACGCAGGAGAGGAAGACCCTTGATGAGATGGATTGATTCAGTGACTGGTGTAATGGGGGATAATGTCGGTAGGTGTGTAGGCGACAAAAAGATTGGCACAGGATAGAGGAGGGTTGTACAAAGGGTGGCCATGAGTTGCAGGCGACTCAATGGCACACAACAACAGCCTTCTTGAGTTGCCCTTTGAAATCTTCTGCTCAGCTCTCTTACCTATCATTTCTTCCTTCCACTTTAACGTCTCAGTACTCTAGATGAACTTTCAGATTCCCTACTGACATCCATTTTTGCCTTTTATTTCCTTCCTGTCTTTTCAATGACCTTTTGCTTTCTTCATATAAGATGTCCTTGATGTCATCCCACAACTCATCTGGTGTTTGGTCTTTAGAGTTCAATGCATCAAATCTGTACTTGAAATCATCTCTAAATTCAAGTGGGACATCCTCAAGGTTGTATTTTGACTCTGTGGAATTGTTTTCATTTACATCAACTTCAACTTACACATGAGTTGATCGTCTACTCTGTAGTTGGCCCCTGTGCTGCTTCTGAGGTTGAACTTCTCCACTACCTCTTTCCATAGTTGTAGTGGATTTGATCCTTTGCATGTCAACAGGAGCGGTTCATATCTATACTTATCGTACATAGTTTTTAAGGAAGGTATTTGCAATAACAACAGGGATTAGGAAGCACACATCTCAGGGAGCCTATTGTTTTGTGTACTATGATGTTGTTAGGTGCCATGAGGCCCATCCGGATCCCTAGGGACCTCTATGTACAATGGGACAAAGCACTTTCTGGTTACTCACCAGTGATCGTTGCCAAGCTTGAGCCCATTTTTTTCTCATCGAGCAGCTAGTGGTTTTGAACCTTGTACTTTTGGGTTGGGGGTGCAATTCTTTACCACTAGGCTATCAGAGTTCACAAGGCTTGAATTTTTCTTCTTCTGTTCTTATAGCCTTTTTTTCCTTTATTAAATTTTTTAAAATAATTTTCATG